TTAACTAGACCATGCTTAGTCTCAGGATACTAATTGCCCCAAATTTAAATTCATTAAGAGACAGTAGATTTATAGTTCTTATTTGCTAACAAATTGTTTCTTGGTTGAATCTGCTAGCCATTTTATATATTAATAACCCTTGCATTTAACATTGTCAAGATGTCTCAAGGTGCTTCACAGGATGTATTGTAAAGTGTTGTAAAGTGTTGTGACTGTGCATTTTGTAGCCATTTTACACTGCAATTGGGATTTGAGAGCAGTGAGTGCTTCGCATCAAGTTATACAAGTTCCAAGTTATTGTGGCAGCACTCCGAGACGCTACCCCACATGAAAGGCGCGATATGTAGAGTTGGACGTTGGAAGGCCTTGTAACAAACAAAGTGGGTCAGCTCACTCCTCAGCTCAAACTGTAAGTGTCAGCATTTTATGTATTATGACTCTGACTTAATTTAAGCCTTTGTGGTGTCGACAAAATATATGCTTGTGTCCATTAAATATTTTAAAGTTATTTCGAGAAGTGTGTATTTTAAATTTGTTAATATAAACAGGATACTGATTTTGTCCTCCTGACTCGAGAAACCCCGACTCTAATCACTGAAGCATTGGTATAAAATACCAAGCTCTGTGACATTTGCGGAGTCCTGTAGCTCAGTGGTTAGAGCACTCGCCTCGCAAGCGAGACACCTGGGTTCGATTCCAAGCAGGGTGAAATGTTGGGCAAGTTTCCTTACTCCACATGCCTATGTTTACCTAGCAGTAAGTAGGAACCCGGTTGTTAGTCGATTGGTGGATCGCTTTTCCAGGGGTAATAATTCCTTCAAAAAAATAAATACATTTGTTACTTCAATCCACAATTGTTTGTGGGACACTGCTGTGTGCAATTGGCTGCCATGTTTTGCCCACAAAATATACAGTCAATTCACTTTACAGTATAATCTTTAAAGCGCTTTGAGACATTTCGAAGATGTGATAAAGCGCTATATCAAATGCAAGGATTATTAGTATTATATAAATGCAAAATGCAAGTTGTTGTTAGGCAGCCCAATCTTCTCTCAAGCAGAACTCTGTCTTCTCCTAAAGCTATTTTCCTCCGAATTCCATCTGCTGGGAGTATATTTCCACTGGCTCTGGCAGTTCTCTTGTATGTTGTGCATGTTTCCTTGGTGTAACCCTGGCGGTGAGTAATGGCAGGCAATTCAGTCATAAGGCGTCATAGCCAAGCCCAATGCTGTGCTTAGTTGACTTCCACACCAACATCGGGGGGTCTCAGAGAAGTTAGAAGTTGTGTACAAACTGGCTGCCACATTTTGCCCACAAAAATGCACTTTACAGTATATCCTGTGAAACACTTTGATACGTCTCAATTACATAATAAGGCTCTTTATCAAATGCGAGGATTATTATAATTATTATTATCAGGAGTTCTGGCAGCTTTGCTCTGCTCTCGACCCAGGGGCACTGAGCTCAGCTGTAGCTGCCCGTCCTGCTGCTCCAGTTGAGATAATAATAATCCTTACATCTGATATAGTACCTTTCTCTTCAGGAGGACATCTCACAGCATTTTGCAGGGTGTACTGTAAAGTGTAATGACTGCTTATTGTGTAGGCGAATGCAATACGGTGAACACAGCTTGGCCTCGGCTCTGATAGCCCACAATTGAAGAGCTCGCCAATACCTACTGCCAAAATCAACTCACTCAGCAAAGATTCAAAACCTGCAAACCTTCCTGGTCTGCATTGCCTTTACCCACCAGGTTATTTAAGGAGCTGGTAGCAGTTTGGAAAGCTACCAATAGTAAAAACAAAGGCAGCCCAGCTGACTGCCTGGGAACTTTCCAACCTTCAATTTAAGACCTAGTGGTTGTCTCTGCTACACTTCTGTGGGAATGAATCGCACTGGGATCAGATGCCTGAAACTGTGGAAGCTGTGTAAAATCATCTCCTGCTATTTTGCATGCAAGTCTGATTTTAAGCGTCATCGTGATAAAAGAAACAACTGAATTCTGGAAATGTAAAAATAATAATAGAAAATACTGCAAATTGCTAGCAAGTGAAGCAGCATCTGAAAGAGAGTGAATGAGTCACCCTTTTGGCGAGACTATTTGCTCTTGTGAAAATGTCCACTATGGAAAACTGGATCGTATTTTGTGAATGGGATTCCTTAAAAAAGATTACAAATGGGAAGTCCATTCCATAACTGAAAATATGTCGCATCAACCCTCGGGAACCCAGCGCCAATCCGATATGCTCCTGGAGTGGAGTTTCTGTGGGTCGAGAGGAATTCTAATGGGATTCCTTATAAAGCAATGCAGTACCACAACATAACCTCCCTGTTTCAGTTTTATTTAATATTATTGGAGTCTAGCAGGACACCTGCTAACCACAAACTGGATTTTATATAGTTTTCAGCATTAGGCTGGATTTAATATTACAAAGTGATTTTTTTAGGGGTTATGAAGATTACTTTCCCGGGAAAACTCCTTCTCGTTCTTGGGAGCAGGGAAAGCCCATGTGAAAAGTACATCTTCAGCATCCATTAACGAAAGACGAGAGGCTCTCTAGCGCATTTTCTCAGCATTTACCGCAGATAATGAACATACACATCCTCACACCAAAATAGCTGCATTTATGGAGGAGCAATACAGGTCGTGCACTTTGCAGTTTACGGTCTGAAATACATGGGATTTAAAGCCTCACTAAATGCGGCAGGGAAAAGTCGAGAAATTAATAATAATCCTTGCATTTGATATAGTATCAATAACATGTCGTCGAGACATTTCAAAGTTGAAACGCCTCAAAACGTTTCACAGGATATATTGCAAAGTGGATTGACTGTGTATTTTGGAGGCGAAATTTGCAGTGGTTTGAGTATTCCGAGTAAGACACTCCTTGCAATTTTTGCTATAGCTCCTTATCTTTATTTGGGCTGACGTGCGTGTGTAGCGCTCCTACCCCTCTTGAAGTGTGCTGTATAAATGCAAGTTGTTGTTGTTGTTGTGTGTGTGTGTGTGTGGTGGGTAAGTGGGTGGGGGAGAGTTCAGGCACAGGAAAGTTTGTGCAGCAAATACCTGGAAAACAACCCAAATCCCTTCAAACTGCGCTAACAATCGTTCTGCCCCTCGCGATCACGGTAGTAAACATACGGTCAATTCACTTTACAGCGTATTCTGTGAAGCGCTTTGAGACGTCGAGAAGCCGCGAAAAGCGCTATAGCAAATGCAAGGATTGTTATTATTGTTATTATTATGATGATGATGATGATGATGATGGCAATATGACCGAAGCCTCTCTGAGGTGTCAGGGCTGTGTGGGCTCAGTGAAGGCACGAAGCAAAAAAAAAAAAAAAAATTAAACCCCACAAAAGTTACAGTGTTTGGGCTGCGATTCCGCTCTTGACTTTTTTTTGCAATATTATTTTTTTGGACGTTATGACAGATCTCTCGCCTCCTCCTGCCTCCCCCCCCCCTCCCTCCCTCCCCTCCCCTCCCTCCCCTCCCCCCTCCCTCCCTCCCCAGCCATCCTGACCGCCTGCAGCTGTCCGGGAGACGCCGTGTGGCTCTGTCTCTCTCTCTCTCTCTCTCTGTGTGTGTGTGTGTGTGTGTGAGTGAGTGCGAGTGAAGTGCAGGAGAAATATCTGCACATCTCGACGCTGTTATATGGTAATGAAGTGGGGGGAGAGCTGCGACTGGAGGTATTTACCGGGTGCAGTCTGCGAGCGGCAAACCAGCCCAAGGCATTGGACCACTGAGAGGCACCAAAGTGCTCCACACACTCACTCACTCACTCACTCACAGTCACTCACTCACTCTCACACACACACAGACAGACACACACAGACACACACAGACACCACTACACAACCGCTACACACACCACTCAGTTCCAGATCGCCGTGTGTTGCGGTGTTGCACCGAAGCCGCTGCTCTCTCCTCTCCTCTCACTCCTCTCCTCTCACTCCTCTCTCCTCACTCCTCTCTCCTCACTCCGTGTCCCCCCTCTCTCTCTCTCTGCGCTGCAGTTTGCCCTTTGCACAGGTAGAACCGGGACCGGGAGGAAAGCGAGAGGCGCAGAGACGACAGCAACAGGTTTTTTTTTTAATTTTTTTTTATAAAAAAAAAGCCATCGCAAAAGCTTCCAGATTTTTAATTTTTTTTTTGCATTCAAACCGATTGAGAGGGGGGATCGGGACTCTCGAACCCCCCCCACTCCCCCTCTCCCTCTCCCTCTCCCTCTCTCTCTCTCTCTCCCTCACCCCCCGCCCCGAATTGACCACTCTTTACAGCTGCTTTTTTTTTTGTTTTATTTTATTTTATCGACGACGGCGACGACGATCCTCAATTAATGAATTCGGAATTCACGGGATGAATGTTTCGCGTTCAAATCCCCTTCTCCTCCTTCTCCTTCTTCTTCTTCTGTGTGTTGTGTGGCTCTCTCTCCCCGAGTTTTGCTGATCGAACATCTGTCGCTGGTCATTCCTGGGGGTTTGAGAGGCAGTGAACACACACACACACACATATATATATATAACATATATATATATATAACACACACACATATATATATAACACATATATACATATAACACACACACACACATATATATATATATAACATATATATACATATAACACACACACACATATAACATATATATACATATAACACACACACACACATATATAACATATATATATTCATATAACACACACACACATATATAACATATATATAACATACATCATATACAACACACACGTGTATATATAACATATAACACACACACACATATATATAACATATACATATAACACACACACATATACTATATATATATATAACACACACATATATATACATATAACACACACACACACACATATATAACACACACACACATACATATATATATACACATATAACACACACACACACATATACATATAACACACACCCCCACCCACACAGATGCCCAAAGTGTCCCGGGAGCTGCTCCCCGGGGCGATGGTGCCGGGGCCGGTGCCGGGGCCGCGGGTGGAGGCGGGGGGCGGGGGCGGGGGCTGCCGTGCCCGGTGGTGCCCCCCCGCTGGGCTCTGGGCTCTGCTCTCGGCGGCATCGGCGACGCTTTGCATCTGCCTGAGCGTGAGGACCTCCGGGCTGGAGCGCAGGATCTCCGCCCTGGAGACCGCAGAGGGACCCGCGCTGCCGGTGGGGCGCATCCCGGCTCCGGCCGCCGAGCAGATGAGGCGGATGGTGCGGGAGAGAGTGGAGCAACTTGTGGAGCAGGTAAGGAGAGGGTGGGGGTGGGGGTGGGGGTGGGGTGGGGGGGGATCCGAACCCCCGACCCTCCGACCCCCTTAGCTTCACTCCCCAGCGCCGAGCACCCGGTGTGTGTGTTGCACTGCGTTGCACAGTGTTGCAAACACTCCCCACCCCACACCCCACCCACGACAGCCCCACCACTCGCCCACCCCGTCCCCCTCTGTCCATTTCACCCCCTTTCAAACCAGAAACCCCGCAACGCACCGGAGAGGGGGTGAAGCCCCCACAGCAACTGCAGCGCAACACAGCGGGAAGTTTTACACAGCCAGTCAGTCTGGGCTGCTTTACACCCCCCCCACCCCTCATCCCCTAAGTTATTTATTGACCCCGCAGTGGATAATAATAACAATAATAATAACCCTTGCATTTGATATAACGCTTTTCACGTCTTCACGACGTCTCAAAGCGCTTCACAGAATATGCTGTAAAGATGTGGGACTGTGCTGTATTTCTGTCTGGGTTGATCTGCGCTGTGCTGGGGGGTGGTTGTCTGTACATTAGGATGGACCCATTGGTGTTTCAGAAGGTTTCCCCCCCCACCCCCCACCACCTTCTACTCCCAAGACTTATTCCATCGTTTATCGCATAGTCTAAGAAACAAGTGACCAGTGACTGTGACAATGAATCAGTCGATGTTCACGGCAGCTTGGGTTGATGTCTTGCAGGGATCCTATCAAGATGTCGTGAAACGCAGGTTTGCGAGAGAGACATCCCCTGAGTGCAACTGCCCTCCAGGTGAGTGGCTTCGTGCCTTTGGCCGGTGGACATTAACGTGCCCCGTTATACTGGGTATGTTCAGGCAGGGATACAACTCATTGTATGTCGTGTCTGTGGCCAGCAGTCGCTCGGGTCTCCCCTTCGGTGTGATTGAAATAGTCGATGATAGAGTAAAACTCGCATAACACTGATCTGTATTAATCGATTAATATAGGCAACGTCCCGTTCCAGAATTTATATTCTATGCAAGTTTGACATAACTCATACTTGGCGTAAGTCACATTAAATGTATGGTCCCAACTGATAAGACTTGTGTGAGGTTTACTGTGCTGTACTTAATGTCAGATTGGATGTGTGGAATACAGCAATACTAAGTGCAGACTGACTTGCTGTTTCACACGCCCTCACATTCCTCATCAGACTGCTTGTTTAGTTTTGCTTCCCTAATATTGAAATATAATCACTTTCATTACACTAACTCAGCATTGTTAATCACATTTAGGAAAGAATGCCAGGGTGAAAATTCTCCAAAGCTGTACTGCAGGTGTTTTTTTACTAGCACTTCAGTGAAGTATATTTATTGGTGGGCAGTTTAAACTGGGTGACCAAAAAGTTGTGATATCTACCTTGTTATCGAAAGAAAAACAAAAATATCAGAATTTCCTTAAGATGTATTAGACATTGTTAATGGTATCATGACTTTTTGGTCACCCTGTAATATAAGTACAGCAGAGCGCTTGGGATATCCCCTCTCATTGGGACCGGTTCTATTGCGGATGTGAAAACAGTGTGGGTAACAGGGCATAACTGGAATTACAATGTAAATTATTAACCGAGACCTGCTGGACAAATAGTTAGTCACTGTAGTATCACAAGTGCCACCCTTCCCCTCTCCCCATTTCCAGTGCTGGAACTGCTCTCCACCCCTCCCCGACCACACAGCTATACACACAGTGCAGTATTTTTCTTCCTGCATGGGGCTTCCTTCTTTCCCACCCATTGTGGATATGCTCAGAATATGTGCTTATATGATTAAAGATTGTCAGCGCAAAATCTGGCTGCCGATTTATCTGATGTTTCTTGAGCACCCAATGCCTTGGAGTACTGCGTACCCATCAAGTTTAGGAACTGGACTACCTAGACCACCACAGAGTGCTGGATTAATTCCGATATTCCGTTGCCAAACATGTCACCTTGGAGCCACTTGAGCTCCAGGGAAACCTCACACCCCAATTCTGAGGAGGATAGTCACTAGTTGGTCATTTGTCATTTGACATCTGACAAGCGCAGATCTGAGCTCTCACTAGATGATTGGGAGGTGCCAGGAGTTCCCAGCTGACTTCCCAGTGGGCAACACAGCTCAGCATGAAATACTTGAGAGCATTGCCACCCACCTTCCTGTGCACAGCTCAGGCGCACATCCCTTCCAATTGAGTGATGGATCCCACAGTTGGAGGTGCGGAGCTGCTTACTTCTTTGCGAACCAGTCAAGGTGAACATATGTTCACAAACTCAGCCTCCAGGTAATGCTTTACCACAGCTGTTGTCCCATCTTACTGTTTCCTGAATGGCTTTATCATAGCCTTCTGTGGAGTAGGAACAAATTTATTATTATATCAACCTATGTCTGGAGAGGGCATTTGAGCTGCACAACATTCCAGCTGTTGTGGGACCAATTTGAAGTGACAAGTTCTGAGTATTTCAGAAGAATCAACCATCCTAACTCACTCAGGTGTTAAATCTAATCACTCCAGTTAGCTCCTTGTTGTCAATGCACTCTTCCACAGCTCATTCTGAAGCACATTCCCTCAGTTCAAGTGGTCAGAAGATTTGATCCTGTCATTAAATTCAAGTTGTACTTGAGTTGTGCCTGGTGCCTTTACCTCATGGCAATAACTAACCAGTTGTCCCGCTACATTAAATGATAGGAGTTTAAAGCTAAGGTGGTTACGGCAAAGGAACATACTTTGTCAGCTGTGCTTACTGTCAGCAACCTGATCTGACAGCAATGTGAATTGATTTATCAAGACCAGGATCACCCTGCTTTAGCTTTATATAGGAGGATTCAAGACCAAATTCAATAATGAAGATGATTATTTGGATTCTGCTGGATTATTCTTATAGCTTTCATGAAATAAAGAGACAACAAGGCAACCTGCTCTTTACGAGCAGCAGTTTAGTATCAAGTAGTGAGCTCTGCTTGTTTTGAGTACAGACAAGTACTCAAGTATACCTTGATGCAGCTACAACCCAACAAAGCACACAAAATTTCTCATAGTCCCAGTCATAAGACCACCCTTTTAACATTTAAGATTGTGGAGATTTTTGGAAAATATTTCAATTCAGCTTGAATTTAGAATCTAATTCTCTGCAGTAATCCCCTGAAACCTTGCAGAAAAATGGCTCGTAAAACAATCAAACTCCCAGATAAATTGGTGTCTGTGGGACATTGCAGAGTTCGAGTTAGCTGCTCTATTCACTTAAAACAGTGTCTTCATTTTACAGCAATTCCCTGGGAATTAACCTCTCCCCCATTTGCTCATTTACTAACTATCTTAAATCAATGTCCTTGATTCACCGACCAGTGAAAATAATTTATTCCCATTGACTATTAAAATCTCTCACATTGAATGGTACATTTATCCCATCACTCCTCAACTTGCTTTGTTCCAAAAAATCTTCTTCATTATTGAATTTAAGAATTTTTCAAATTTTTCATGATCTTAAATCAGTTTTCAGGAACTTAAATTTTAAGACAATGGTCTTGAGTCTGTGATCAGGAATTTTAAGCCTCCAGTTGGGTGACACCCGCAGCATCCTGGTACCAAGCCAGCATTGCTAACTGCCAAGATCCTCCCAATATGAAAGACATTATATAAATGTAAATTTATATTGTATCATCACAGCAATCTGAAATCCGAACAAAGCATGACAACATTGACTTTAAAGCTTTCCTTATCATTTGTATTACATTCCTAAGTTTGGGAAAAGTAATGATCAATAACAAATTATTGACTAAAGTGAAGTTTAAGATGGATTACCAAGTCAGGCAGTGAGTTAACAAACTGGCTTTCAGCTGTTGTACCTAGACTGAAAGTGACTAATATTGGAATGAAAGTCTCTTGTTTCTCGATTCTATATGAAAGTGAGATTGGTCAGTCTCGCTCTTTGCTTACAAAACAGAGAATGTTGGAAATGAACTCCAGCATTTAAAAGAGAAAGATAGTTATCAGTTTGTGCTTCCAGCATTTTCTGATTTCTTTCAGCTTTCCAACTCGTAGATTTCTTTTTATCTCATCCGATTTTCTGTTGGATATGGACTCACAGCACAAAGCTGTCCTTCACCTGGCACTAATTGGCAACCTCACTCAAACAGATCACAGGATAGTTGGGAAGCATCACCCTGGGGTTTAAAAAGCATGTGTTGGGTAAATTATTCTCTAAATTGTATCGAGCACTAGAGAATGTTGCTCAGGACATGAAGTGTGTCTCCTGCAGGAAACCCTGAGTACATCACGTCAGCCTAGCTCAGTTGGTGGCACTCTCACCTGTGGATCAGAAGGTTGTAGGTTCAAGCCCCACAATGGGACTTTGAACTTGTATATTCTAGGCTAATGCTCAATGCAGTGCGGGCAGTGTGCTGTATTGTTGGAGGTGCCATCCTTCGGATGAAATGTTAAACCCGTCTGCTATTGAGATGGACTGAAAAGATCCCATGACAGTATTTGAAAAGAGAAGGGAGTTTGTCCTGGCTAATAATCCCTCCATTTAAAAATTGGTCACTCATTTCATGGCTGTTTGTGTGACATTGTGTGCAAATGGGCTGCTATGTTCACCTACAAATGCAGTCAATACATTTCATAGTCAATCTTGTGAAGTGCTTTGAGACATTTTTATATTATCTTATTATGATGCGTAACCTGGAGGAACTCCGCTCTGATGAGATTTTGGGTTGGAAAAGAGTTAATAATAATATTTGAATTTTAATATAGCACCTTATCGAGTTATCGAATTCTTGACGGTCAGTTTGATATAAAAGGGGTTAACTACAAAACTCTTTGTCTGATGTAAGGTATCCTTAATGCTGCAGTTTTTTCAGCCAACCTTCTTGAACTCCACTGATGCAGTTTAGGGTGGTCTAAGATTTGAGGCAGAATGGAGACTATCCTGTATATGGTTGGTGCCTGAAATGGGAAAAGTATTCCAATTCCCAGCATGAACATTGCTGGTGTTTAAATGATAAGCATCTAAACCCTCTGTGAAAAAAATAGAAAAAAATCTCAGTGACAATAGTTTTAACACAGTTACAGGGCAAACATCACTGAGTACAGGATGACTCATCTTGTAATGTATTTATTTTGACAAGACAGACAGGAAGAATGAACGTATGCTTATGCCATTAGATGTGTCGCCTGAGGTCTCATATACTCTAGGCGATGCTCCAGTGCAGCGCAGGAGGTGTCCAGCTCTGAGTTGTCTGAGGTACCGTCCTTCAGAGTGAATTATAAATAATAAATTATAATCCTTGATTTGCTATAGAGGCTGATGCATTAAAATGCAAGTAATAACAATGAGGTCTCCTGTGCTGTAAGCCAACTTGTTTTCTATGTAAAGAAGATTGGTTAAAGACTGTTTTTCCTCATTTCATTATTTTGAGCACGGACTCAATTGACCAATTTACAGGAGGGAATTTTCATTACATCTAATTACTGTTTAGCCCAATCAAATATGGTATGTGATAATTATCACTGGTGATGGTGATCTCATCTGAGACCATATTTCTCACCCCTATTTTAACTATTGCACTCACTTCAGACTGAAACCAGTCAATGTCCCAGACAGTGTCAGATCTCTAGCCTGATTTGTGCAGCACAGCTTTTTCTCTCTGGACATAGCGACCAGAGGATACAAATTAGACTATTTACAGCAGTCTGATAGGAATCAGTTTGGTCTGCAGCCAGCTATGAGCTATCATCAGAGAGGATGTTTTACTAAGGAGTTACGATACTGCACTGGAC